TTTTAATTTAAGGGGTGTCAACCTTTTTTTCTGGCAGGCACTCATAATGTCTTCAGATCAGCTAATATTTTACTAATCTTGAAAATACTAGTATTTTCAAGATGTTTAGGCTGTGTCTAGATTACTTTTCTTTCTAAATCTAGTTTAGCTTACTTCTGGAATCTTTCAAAAATGCACTATTTACTCAATAAGATTTTCTCCACTCTGAATGGTGTGAACTCAAATGATTCTTAACCCCATTTGAACTCTGTGAAATGTTTGGTTTGAGGTCTCCGTTAAATTTTCTTTCCCTAGCAGCTGTCCTTGCCTGGCCTCCACAATGATCAGACTGATAATTAGCCAGAATCTCCAGGGTGTGAAAATTCTGGATCTCTATTTCTCTCTCTTTCTACTTTCTTTTTGCACTCCCTGCTCTTTGGTACCCTATGCTGTACATTCTTACTTGCCTCTGCCTTGCCAAGCTACAATCTCTGTCTCCTCAGCTTAAAATGACCATCAGACTGTTTCCTCCTCTGCCCTGCCGTCTGGTCATTTTGTCCAGAAAGAAAGCTAGAGTGATTTCAGGGCTTACCTTATTTGTTTCCCCTCTCTCAAGGATCATAGTTGCGAACTTCCTGTTGGCCAGTATTTTAAAACATTCTTTTTTCATATGTTTTTTCCCAGGTTTTTTTTTTTTTAATCTTTTTTTTTCAGTTGTTTAAAGTGCTAGGGCAAGTCCCATATCAGTTATCTCTCACAGGTGGAAACAGAAGTCTATCTGGTTTAATTTTTTTGTTTTGTGTTTTCTTTGTTTCGCTTAGTTCCCTGTTTTAGTACCATGATTTTGTCAAGGTTTTAGCTTTTCCCTAATGATGCAAATATCATTCACCCTATTTTATATTCACACTGAATGAACTATGACTATCACTGGGGAGAGGGAAGGAGTGAGGGGTAGTATAGAAGTAGGAGAGGGGAAAAAAGGTTATTATAGGATTGTATGAAATCAGCTGTGTGATACTTTGGAAAATTGTAAAGCACTGACTCTTTCATTCAATAAAAAAAAAAATTTAAAAACATCAGTAGTGCAAAAGCTGCAGCTTTAATCATTTGAACATAAGCAAAAGTGATGGAAAATACAGACCTTCCGTAGAAGCTTTCACAGTAAGTGTATACTTTTGAAAAAGAAAAAAACTGCAATTGTATACAGTAGCTCTTTGTGTAACTTAATCTACTTATAAAGCTATTTTCATTTATAGAGGTGTATTATCTCCATGGTTACCAGTCATTTCCAAGGGCAGAATGTTTTAAGAATATGCATCGGCAAGCAGAGTAAACATGTTTTGAAAGGCTCAAAATGCAACGTGAGTTATTATGCTGCACACTTCTATTCTGCATAAGGGCACATGGCCCAACAGCTCCACTCTCTCACTGGCTCTCCTACCCTGGGTGGCTGCTATCAAATGGGCCTATTCAAACAAAGCTGAGGTACTCCATATGTCACGTCCTGTCTTTGGTATGGATTTTTCCGAGTGAACTTTTTTATCTCTTGCCCCATTTATTTTTGTATTTCCTACTTATAGGCAGTTAAAGAGCAATACAGGTTTTGCAGTCAAACAGACCTAGGGGTTTCAAGGATTAGCTTCATTTCTAGTCTCTGATAGGTTTTTTGTTCGCTTGCTTAAACTCATCTACAAAATGGGAACATCAGTATTTAACTGGCAAGACAGTTCCAGGAGCTCGAGAAGGGTTGTGAGTGTGGCCCACTGCCTGACACACAGGGCATCCTCAAAAACTGATAGCTTTGACTACTGTTACTTTCATCTGGATTTCACCTAAGTTGACATTTTGCCCAAATATTGCAAATTTGTAAACAGCATTTTGCTTTCATAATACTATCAACACTAATTACAACAGTTTAAAGGGCTAGTGAAATGAACTGGCACTGATTTTAATGCCCCAGCAGTTACTACTATGGAAGGCTGAAGTATCCAACGTCAAGACAAAGATTTAGGTTCCAACTTCCCTTCCGTAAGATTTTTTTGTTTTTTGAGGTGAAATTCACTAACATAAAATTATTCATTTAAAAGTATGCAATTCAGGGACTTCCCTGGTGGGTCAGGGGCTAAGAGTCCGCACTTTCAATGCAGGGAGTCCAGGTTCAATCCCTGGTCAGGGAACTATATCTCACATGCCACAACTGAGAGTTTGCATGCAGCAACTAGAGATCCCGCGTGCCACAACCAAGACTTGGTGCAGCCAAATAAATAAGCAAATATTTAGTGATTAAATGAAAGTATAGATTGAGTAGTATTCAGTATTTACAAGGTTATACAGATACCACCTCTATCCGGGTCCAGCATGACTATCCTGTAGTCATCCTTCTCCCCCAGCCCCTGGCCACTACCGGTTTGCATCTTGATAGATTTACTTATTCAGGATATTTCATATAAATGGAATGATACAATGTGTAGCCACTTGTGTCTGACTTCTTTAATTTAATATATTATTTTTGAGATTTATCAATGCTGTAGCATTGCTTTATTCTTTTTATGGTAGATTACATTCTATTGAATGGATATACAATATATTGCTTATCAAGTCATTCCTTGCTGTACATCTGGGTTGTTCCCACCTTTTTTGACCATTGCAAAAAGTGCTGCTATGAATATTTGTGTATATGTATTTGAGTCAGTTCAGTTAAGTCCCTCAGTCGTGTGTGACTCTTTGAGACCCCATGGCCTGCAGCATTCCAGGCTTCCCCCATCACCAACTCCTGGAGCTTGCTCAAACTCATGTCCATCAAGTTGGTGATTCCATCCAACCATCTCATCCTCTATCATCCCCTTCTCCTCCTGCCTTCAGTCTATCCCAGGATCAGGGTCTTTTCAAATGAGTCAATTCTTCACATCAGGTGGCCAAAGGATTGGAGTTTCAGTTTCAGCATCTGTCCTTCCAATGAATATTCAGGACTGATTTCCTTTAGGATGGACACGTTTGATCTCCTTGCAGTCCAAGGGACTGTCAAAAGTCTTCTCCAACACCACAGTTCAAAACATCAGTTCTTCAGTGCTCAGCTTTCTTTATAGTCCAACTCTCACATCCATACATGACTACAGGAGAAACCACACGTTTGCCTAGACGGACCTTTGTCAACAAAGTAATGTCTGTGCTTTTTATTTTATTTATTTATTTATTTTTTATTAGTTGGAGGCTAATTACTTTACAATATTGTAGTGGTTTTTGTCATACATTGACATGAATCAGCCATGGATTTACATGTATTCCCCATCCCGATCCCCCCTCCCACCTCCCTCTCCACCC